TAAACGTCTCTTTACGGCCGGCCTGCGTTATGCAGGTGGGAAACCACCGGCCAAGATCATGTGACTACAAAGCTTCTTACTAACAGCCAGCCAGCATTTATGCGAGCGGGAGACCACCAGCTAATGCCAATTATACATCAAACGCACTGATGTATGCTATATATCTCTGTCAATTATACATCAAACGCACTGATGTATGCTATATATCTCTTCAATTATACACGTGTTTGAATTTTCTTTCATTTTTTTCGATAATTAATTTCTGTACAGGGATTAAACTTCTTCCAAGCCAAATTCCATAGTGATAAGTGCATTTCCGTCTACTGATTTTTATAGGAGATCGGATCTGTATCATTCAAATCAACTTATAGAAACAACAAAATTATGCGGATCTGATCATTAGATCACGAAAATTTTGGCCGTGAAAAGGTGCTCATTCTCGGAGGAATATAGTCTTAATAACCAACCAGTTTTAATCGGTTTTAACATATGAAAATAAAGCCGGTCCAAACTCTAACTCTAATTCTAACTGAGTTAAAGGACTATTAGTTAAACCTGAATTCTGATTTCTTTATTACATTAGTGAAGGGTAATGCTTTTAAATTTTCACATTATTAGTAGATACATTTAGAATGTATTTGCTATATCTGATTTATATACTTTATACGCTTTTCGATTTCAGAATTTCAAAGGAAAAATAGGATTTTTAACTTTAATAAATTTTAAATCACCCTTAATATAACAGATAAAAAAATCAGAGAAAAGCATTTCAAAATAATAATAATAATAGATAAAAAAATGCATATAATGAATTAAAACTGAAAAATATGAATAATTAATTCGCCTAAATTTTAAATGGCTGATTTATTTTGAAGGTCTATATTAAATCCTATCAGCCGATACATATTTTCATATATCATCAAGTAAATAATATAGGAATCTATTCGAGGTTATCTTCTCTGCTTTTGAAATAATTAGCAAGAATTTTTTACCGGATAATCGGTTGCTCCAGCCCAAATAAAGCCAGAAGGATTTTGAACCTTGAGCCAAGTATTAACTATTTCTACACATTCACCCAAACAATCAGTTATAGGTGTAAATCTATCAACGTTTGACAATGAGCCTATTCTTGAACTACCGGTACATGGTTGTTGTCTTATAATAACTCCATTTGATGACGTAACTGTTACCGTATTAGCGAAAGGTTTAAGAGGGTCATCACAAGTACATTGCGATAAAGCCGGTTTAATAAAGTTAATCAAATAAAATAATACTGATAATGAACAAAAGTTTTTTTGCATTAGAATACATTTTTTAATTTTTTTCAATAAGAGAAATTTTATGATTTTTTGATTTGGTTGACATCCACTTTCTGGTGCATATATATATTTGAAATGAATATGTCGACGAATATGTGAAACTAAAAGCTTGAAACTTCTCTACATACCTGAAATGGAAATAAATACTCACTATGATTTAATAGCATGGCCGACAGAGTTGCGCATCCTGGATAATTCACTTTATTTATCAAACAGAGTCTCTACGATTTAATGAATGAATCAAATTGAAATTATTATTTACTTTTTTAATACAATTTTAAGGAGTTTTTTTTTGCTGATAATTTTTTTTTTTTAACAACCCTTTTGATAGGGACGCCAATTGACGTACGTACTTTATATTTAATTAAATTATATGAATCCTATTATTAATTGCTGTTTATGTACAAGGTAGGGGATGACAAATTATTACTATATATGTACAAGAATTATTTACAAATTGGTGTTGACGATTGTTAACCCTTTAAGTATTGCTTTTTTAACTTTACTTCCATTATTCGCCGTCCTCTCTAACACTTTAATCACTTTGTATACTCTATTTTTGACCACATAAGAGAGTATGGGGTCTGGAATGCGTTCACGACCCCATTTTCTTTGCGCAAAACAGCATCAGATTTATATATTGCTACCATGTGCAGCAATATCGCTGTGTCCCTATATTTCATGTCTGCAATGTTTGTTGCAGTAAAAATCTCATCCATCGTTGTTGGTTGTGCCTTCTCCCTACCTTTTAGAAAGCTTCGTTGATAATTAAAATTAAAGGAAGTTATGCGAGGTTGTCCTTTTGTGTTTCGGGATAAGCTATGAAATTGTATATACATATATTATCGATATTTTATCGATTCTAAGTATAATTGCCCAAAACTATTTTAACCTCAGGGCACTTCTTAATGAAATCTAATTGACCAGTTGAATTGGACAGACCAACCAGATTCTTAGTTGAACCTATCGAGGAAGATGCCCGAGAATGCCCGAGAATGCCTTCAATTAATTTTTAGGGATGTTAAGTAGTCCACGAGGACTGGCTCCGGACCGGTTCTGGATCAGACTTTTTAGGGACCGTTCAGAACCAGTCTAAAACTAGTCAAGCAAACACATGATATGAATTGAGTGTCATTTTTGACACATCGAATAAATTTTAATAAAAGCGAATCATGAACATTGCTTTTGATATTTCCATTTTAAGATTCGCTAATTAGATAATTGATTTTTAGGTGTTCCGATTGGTGGATTTAGTAATTGTTTTTACTATTATATCACAAAAATTATCTGCATTGTATATTAAACTGCTGGGGTTGGATCGGTTTCAGACTAGGGTGTGAACTAGTGATGTGTGACGCAACTCACGTGACCTGACGCAACTGCTCACGTGACCCTTAAAAACATATGTTTGAGTTG